ATTGTTCATCCTGCCTATCTTATCTCGATAGACATGCAGAGACAATAATCAGGACAAAAACAAGACAGAGCAAAACAAAACAACAACAAAAAAGCCTATAAATTGTTTGTTGACCTTTAGGAGTGTTTTCAGGTCGAGTCTGATGAGGTGCCATGCCCTGGCCCCAAAGTCTATTTTTGGTATTCCTCGGGGACTTCATTGCTCTGCTCCCTTTGCTGTTCTGCTGCATGTCCTTAGTGTTTCACTCTGGTGTGATGGGTCAGATCGGGCACACTTCCTGCGCTGTGTCTCCAGTGTTGGCCAGCATAGCGCTATGGGTCAGTGAGAGATGGCGGGTCTTGTGGTGGAGCCAGCCCTATGGTCCAGACTTCAATCCGGTGCACCAAGGTCATGAATGCACCATACCGACATGAAGCAGGGAACCAATAGAGAGGTCTGAGGGGCTGGCCCCAATTCCAACTACATGGACGTCCTCCCACCCCGCCCCGCCCCAAAGAATGTACTTCAGAGGACAGCACTGAAGCTACAGCTCAAGGAGAAGGGCACATCTCATTAGAGCACACAAAGGCGCAAACAAAGAGAGAAACAGAGAGTGGACCACATCCTGGCCCATCAAGCAGAGGACAAATACTCCTGCTCAGACCAGCCAATGCACAGAGAGGACCAAGGGGCGGCCCCACAAGTACCTCTGTTCTAAGGAAGGATCTCAGTGCTTAAGGGTCTTGGCTCTGTTCCCTCCTCCTTGTATCTTTCAAGTTTCTCCTCAATCCCTATTCTTTCCGCCTCCCCACAAGCTAAAACCTCATCTACCTAAAAGAAAAAAACTGGGCACACTAACAAAATCCTTCCTGTCAAGCTAAAGTATGGCAACTCTCCTTTTCTCTCCTGCTTTCTCATCATTACTGCCCAATCATTGCAATCTAGCTACTTTCCTGGAACATGCTACTGCCAAGGGTCACCCAAGACCATAAAATTCCCAAGTCTACCTTTCCGAGTCTTCATCCTTCTAGCTTTTTATTAAAGTGCACATTCTCTTCCTTAAAATTGTGTGCTTGCTTTCAGTGGCATTACGGTTCCCTACCTCTCCCTTCTGTCCTTTAGCACTCCCCAAAGCTTTCTGACAGAACACGTTTTCCTGGCAATCATATAGTCCCACAGCTCCATTAACCTTGAGTTGAACAATCCCTGACTTCTAATATAAACTGCTAAATAGCAACTAGGAGACTCTCCTCTACTAGCATTTCAAATCAATGAGCCCGGAGCCCACGCCATGAGCTGTATTTTGTTTTACCATCAACACCCTCACTGCCACCACAGTCCTTCACACCAGAATTTGAAGCATCTCTCATCTGAAGTATTTCCACTCCATCAGTGACAAAACCTTACTGATGTCTCACAACCTTATCATCCCTAATAATCTTACCCTTTTTGTTTGGAATTCCCAACAACTTTCTTTGGAATTAACACTGGTTTATATTAGAAATTAGGAGTAGGTTTCTGTCAAGAACCCTGCTCCTTTTCAAAGCTCAATTCAAATGTCATCTTTATGACGTCTTTATTTCCATTGTAACTACATGGGGAATTTACTATTAACTCTTTACTCCTAATTTACTATTAACTCTCTATGCTTCCAAACTTCCAGAAATCACTTTCTCTTCTGCACGTTCAAGTAAATGTGTGTATCTTTCCCAAGGCACTGCTTGTTATTAGTTATCTGTCCAGACTTTACTTGTTTATTAACTTGTTAACCACAGCTACTACTTAATCCTACTTGTAATCCCAATAGTTCTTGGCACCATATTTTTGCATGTTTACCGTTGTAAATATTAACATTTGTGAATAAATCCAAGTGGTAATAGTAAGCTATTTGAAGCACCACAGGTTAAAATGTCTTCTCTGAAAAAAGATTAGTTAACACTGATGGAGTGATTACATCTGAGACTCTTCTTGGAATTTTATATGGCTCAGCTCATGTTATCCTTCAGGAATTGTCACACAGGAGAATTAAGTAAATTGCCAGGAAACAAGAGGAAGATTCAAACTCACAGCTTGACTCCAGAACCACTACTTTTAGTGCCAAGGTCACATGACCAACTCTCAGTTCCATTCCTTGTAGTCTTCTGCTCTGAATGAGATGTTACTACCACTCTCTCCAACTCAAAAAAACAAAACAAACAAAAAAAACCCACAATTCTAAAATTCAATACACATTTACTATTTTTTTTATGTTACTCACAAGTTCAATTACCCACAGTTTCTACTGGGTGGGTAACTAGCTAGAGGTTTACACAGTTTGCAAATGCCATGCAAGTTCTACGTTTCTGCAATTTTTTTTCTCAGTAAGCAACTGTCACTTTACGTAAAAGACAGAAAATCCACTTGTGCCTCTCGACATCCGGGCTTTTCATAAGTGTCTCCCTCTTTGATGTTTGTCTCACCCTTTAAACAAAGACTCAGGGAAAACCAGGGAGGTGTCAGAGCTGCTGAGCTCTAAACTTCATGAGGTTTGTGGAAGCAGAAACTACTGTTTCAGCAGAAAAACAGATCATTTTCACTTACACAGAGACTATGGACACATGATGTAACTAAAACACATATGTTTGTCACTTGGTTTGAAATTGGAAAACGTAACAGTTAAAAGGGCCAGGTTTTTTGTGATTTTTATTTCACATTTGAAGGAAAACAAAGGGAGTTTACTGCTTCAAAATGTACACCACCCAGCTTTTAAGCAGAGGCATGAAAGACAGGAGGGAACAAACGGGCACTGCACCAGGGGAAGAGCGTTCCAGGAAAGGGAAAAGCCAGCGTGCTGGGTGTCGAGCAGCAGCACAGAGCGCCTGTGACTGGAGCAGAGTGATGCCGGAAGGAAGGAAACAAGACAAGCGCAGAGATGGAGTAGGTCCTGGGAGATGGGGCCTGAGTCAGGACCTCGGCTTTATTCCAATAGGAACAGGAACCACTAGCGACAGACAGGACTTGCTGAAGGGACGAGGAGGGACACATACAATTTCAAAGCGCGTGGTTGTCAGCTCACTCGTGTATGTTAACAACACAACACCAAAACATATGGCCAAAGCCAAAGAGCCGTGTGCTTAGACTGCGCTCACCTGCGTAGGACAGCGGCCTGGTGTTCAAGATCTGCCGTGCTCTCATTGCTTGCTGCTGCTTCTCCAGAGCCGCTAACATGTCTCCCAAATCCAGCTGCACGGGGGTCTTCGTCTTTTTCCCAGCTGCTTTGGACAAAGCTTCCTGCGGGAGAACATGAAGACATTCACTGTGACTGCAGTATGGAAGTCTGGCAATTTCGGATTGCGCTTACCAATGCCCCCTGTTTAGCACTTATCACATTACTTAATGCAAACAAATATATACCTGCAGCTTTTTTTGCTCCATACTTATTTCTGAATACTCTTGAGCGGTAGCAAGGGCTGCTGCTAAAGCTTTCTTCTTCTGACTCTTCGCACGTTTCGGAACAGAGGTTGTAATAGGAATTGGAGTCTGAACTATATTGATTGGTGAGTTTTCAGGTAAATCATCCAACTATAATAACCAAAGAAAGACGTTTGTTAGTGATCCCAAGTCTCAGAGGAATACCAACACTTCAATATCAACTCTATATACACAAGCATCAATTGGCATATAAGTATGAAACTGAAGTAATATCTATTTTCTGACCAAATTATCAAATGTGGCATGTCCAACAGAAAGATGGCCTGCCATCCAGGAGTGTTTCTGTTGAAAAGTGGGTGGGGCAAGTGGCCAAGTACTCAACTACTCGCGGATAGGTTGGTGCTCTGAACACACCCATTGGTGCCTCTGAAGGCCGGGCTGGCAACCTGCTTCCAAAAGGTCAAAGCCTTGAAAGCCCAATGGAGTAGGTCTAATCTAAGCGCGTGGTATTTCCGTGATTCGGAATCAACTCAACAGCAATAAACATCATCAATCAAAAGGTTAAGATAGTTCAAAATGTGGGATATTTAGGACTCTTCAAAGTCTTCAGCGTCATAAAAACCACAGTGAGACAGTGGACCATTTGAGGCCAGAAAAGAATAAAGCGATGCAACAGCTTAATGTGACGAGTGATGCTTGCACGCACCCCAGGCTCCAACAAAACGCAGCTACTGGTCTCTTGCATCCTCAGGAAAGAACAGTGAAGAAAATCAAGGACTCAAGAAAACACTGGTCCCAAGGTTAATGGACCTTGGGACCCTCAGCCTCCACTATGCTGAGGCTGAAGAAGGCCATGGTGCCTGACTACCACTCTCTACCTCTCTGAACGGAATCACAAAAAAGATTCCATATGAAGTAGAAGGGGAGAAAAAGAGAGTAAAACTCAGAATTATAAAACAGACCAAGCTTAATGGTCTGATAGAGATGTTAGCCTTTGGACAAGCCTGAAACTGAGCCAACCTCCACGGACCAATGTTCAGCGAAACCACACACAGGCCTACCATGCAACCACCACCCCAACCAGAGAGCCAACTCCTCAGTAACCAATCACAGGAGACCAGAGAGCAGCAACCTGCTCAGTCAAAGCTCAGAAGACAGGAGGGACAACGGAGGACAAACAGGAATGGGGAACCTAGGGAGGAAGTGGAAAGAGTGTACTTAAATCGGAGGGATGGCAAGCAATGTTATGAAACAAAATGTGTATAAATTATTGAATAGAAAACTAATTTGCCAAAGCAGCAGCACCCCAGCCTGTGTGGCTCATGAACTATAAATAATATGATCTGAGTATGAAGGCGGGAATGGCATCAGAGCTTAAACTACGAACACCCAGTTTAAAGAAGACCGTGGATGGCAGCTTGAACCCCAAATCCATCTGCAGGATCTACACATAGATTAGCCTCTGGTGACTCCCCAACCATAGTCAAGGGACGTAAATAGTCTCAAATCAGACTGAGAACGTGGTAGAGATGATTATAATAGATACAGTAAGGTTAAAATGTAACATTTCATTTGATCCTCCTTTTGATCCATTTAAAAGTTGTTTCAGTTTTAAAACAGTAAAAGTGAAGGGAAATAAACACGAATCAAGGCAGGAATGTAAACAGCCTTGCTATCATGCAACGCGCATTGGAAAGTGGATTATGGCAAAAACAGTAAGTTAAAATTTAACAGCTTATCAAAATGAGGAGCTGATTCCAGGACCCGAGGCGGAAAGCGAGAATTTTGAGAATGATGAGGGCAACGAATGTATAAGTGTGCTTTACACAATTGACGTATGTGTAGATTATGATAAGAGTTGTAGGAGCCCCAATAAAATGATTTTTAAAAAATTAACAGCTTATCATATGATCTCCCTTTTGACTCACTTAAAAGTTGTTTAGTTTTTAATAATTTTCTGCTTCCTTTTTTATTGAGGTTTTTCTCTTTTATCATTCTTGTTAGTGTTTTTGCTTGTATGCTGTTCTTTTGTATGTTTTTAAAATATGAAATCCAGAATGGGTAGATCTATAGAGACAGTAATTGGATTAATGGGTATGGCAAGGGAGGGGGGGCAATCAGAGAGCTAACAACATGGAGTACAAGAAAGAAGAAAATTGATTGTAGAACTCTTCTTGATATGATTAAAATACTAAATTGCATGATATGTGGATCACATGCCAGTAAAACTGTTAAAAAGAAATACAAATGGGGGGGGGCACGAGGAGGAGGGAGGGAAGAAAAAGAGGAGCTGATCCCAAGGGCTCAATGGAAAGTAAATGTCTAGAAAAGAACGATGGAATATGTGTGCGACTATGTCAGAGACAATGGATGTATGGCTTGTAACAAGAGTTGAAAAAGCCCCAATAAAATGATTAAAAATAATAATAAATTGGGGGAAATATATCTATGTACATATATTTATAGGTTGAGCACTAAGAAAACAGATGGACAGTGGGCCCCTGCACAAGTACTCCGTCAACACAAGAACACTTTGTTCTAACAATTAAGCAGTCTGAGATGCTCACCTGCCTGGCACGATCACTGAGGACAATGGGTGCACAAGCAAATGTGGTGAAGAAAGCTGATGGTGCCCGGCTATCAAAAGCTATAACACCTGAAGTCGCTGAAGTCAATGGGTACACAAGCAGATGTGAAGAAAGCTGATGGTACCCAGCTACCAAAAGATATAGCACCCGAAGTCTTAAAGACCTGAAGATAAACAAGCAGCCATCTAGCTGAGAGACAACAAAACCCACATGGAAGAAGCACACCAGCCTGTCCCGACTGGATCACTGAGGAAAAAGTGGGTGCATAAGCAAACGGGGTGAAGAAAGCTGTTGGTTCCCGGCTATCAAATGATACAGCATCTGGGGTTTTAAAGGCTTGAAGACAATCAGGTGGCCATCTAGCTAAGAAACAACAAAGCCCACATGGAAGAAGCACACCAGCCTACCCCTACATGAACGCTGAAGACAAAGAGGGTGCATAAGCAAATGCAGTGAAGAAAGCTGATGGTGGCCAGCTATCAAAATATATAGAATCTGGGGTCCCACAGGCTGGAAGATAAACAAGGGGCCATCTAACTGAGAAACAACAAAGCCCACATGGAAGAAACACACCAGCCTGTGAGATGACAAGACATCGAAGGGATCAGGTATCAGGGATCAAAGACCAAAAAAATAAAATATAATAGCATTGTGAATGAGGGGGAGTGCAGTCGGGACCCAGGGCCCATACGGGGGAAATTGGACAGCCCCTTGCAGAAGGGCTGCGGGGAGGAGACGGGCCAGTCAGAGTGCAGTGTAGCAACGATGAAATATACAATTTTCCTCTAGTTCTTAAATGCTTCCTCTCCCCCACTACCATGATCCCAATTCTACCTAACATATCCGGCTGGACCGGAGGATGTACACTGGCACAGATAGGAACTGGAAATACAGGGAATCCAGGACAGATGAACCCCTCAGGACCAGTGGAGAGAGTGGCAATATCGGGAGAGTGGAGGGAAGGTGAGGGAGAAAGGGGGAACAGATGACAAAATCTACATATAACCTCCTCCCTGGGGGACGGACAGCAGAGAAGTGGGTGAAGGAGACGTCGGGTGGTGTAAGATATGATAAAATAATAATAATTTATAAATTATCAAGGGTTCAGGGGGAGAGAGGAAAAAAATGAGGAGCTGATACCAAGGGCTCAAGTAGAAAGCAGGTGTTATGAGAACGATGATGGCAACATATGTACTAATGTGCTGGACACAAATGATGTATCTACGGATTGTGAAGAGTTGCATGAACCCCTAATAAAATGATTAAAAAAAATAATAATAATAATAATAATAATGAATTTTTTAAAATTATTCTGTAGAAACTTCCACCCAAATCACAATAAAACATTGCGGGGACAAAGGGAGGAAAATAGTCTTATAACAAATAGGGAAATTTCTATATGGACTATATGATGCCAATTTTTTTTCTTAGAAAAACTGTAGAATTTTGGATTTCACAGGAAATCTTTTTTTTTTCTTGACGATGTTGAAAAGAAGTATCAGAATAAAACCATACTCAAGGTGAATAGGGGGCAGGGGGCATGGAGTGGAGACCCAATGCCCGACAATGGGCCATCCCCTCACAGAGGGGTCACAAGGAAATATGAGCCAGTCAGGGTGCAGTATAGCACCAATGAAAAACACAATTTTCCTCTAGTTCTTTGGTGCTTTCTTCACCCCACTATCATGACCTCAATTCTACCTTACAAATAAGCTTAGAACAGAGCATGCACACTACTACAGATAAGAGTCAGCAACACAGGGAATCCAGGATAGATAAAACCCTCAGGGCCAACAATGAGAGCAGGGATACTAGGAGGATTAAGGGAGGGTGGGGGGAGAAAGAGGGAATCAATCACAAGGATCAAACTAGAACCCCCTCCCAGGGGAAGGAATAACAGAAGAGTGGGGGAGGAGCAAGGAGGACGATGTAAGATATGGAAAAATAATCTATAACTTATGAAGGGGGAGGGAGGGAGGGAGGGTGGGGAAAGGAGGGGGAAGAAATAGGGAGCTGATATCAGGAACTCCAGTGGAAAGAGAATGCTTTGAAAATGATGGCGGCGGCATAAGTGCAAATGTGCTTCACACACTGGATGAATGTATAGATTGTGATAAGAGATGGAAGAGCCCCCAATAAAACTATTAAAAGAAAAAAAAAAAGAAATACTAGAGGTAAATATGAAACAGTTTCTATTATGCCACAGTGCCCCACTGTGTTTAGTATTTACTTTTAATGTTTCTTTCAACATAAAGCACAGCTCATAAGATGTTCTAGATTGCTTAATTTTTTTAAGACACTTACGACTTTTGAAGAAAGTTTTTGTTGAATATTCTCATCTTTAGTAACATTTCCATTCTCATTTAGTTCTCGAAACCCATCTTCATCCTGAAATTGGGATTCACATTTTAAGTGAAAACAGAACAGAAGGCAATAAATTTTTAAGAAAAAACTACTTTTTAAAATGCTTTAGAGTAACTCAAAATAACATTAAGTTTTTTAAAACAATGACTATTTAAAGTCAGTTATAACAAAGGAAATGGCATTTGACACAAGCAAAAACATAGCCAATGTTATTTTCCAAGGATATGGCAGGTATGTCCAGTAATATATGCCAATCCTTCAGATTTCTACAAATACCATTCCATTTCTATTAGTAATCCTACCTTGAGATGACTGAAAATAATTTCCAATTGGAGATTTGGGGTAATTCAGAAAAATAATTAAAGTATATACTTTAATATAAAACTAACATAATCATACTACTTCACACACTATCAAGAGAGTTAATAAAAGTTTAAGATAAACATTTTTTTTGTAAAAATTAATTTAATGCATACATCTTTACTTTGAAAATTAAACTTAGTGTCTCTAACTAAATCTAAAATGAGCACATCTAGATTAACTGGAACTATTCCGGACAGAGTGCATGCAGTGTTCGCACTGCCATATCCTAAGCCCAAAGTGACCTTTGGCTGTGCTTTCAACTCCAACCACACTCAACCAAGTCTTAGACGTGCCAGCTCTCTGCGCTGCGGTGTCTATTCGCCTCAGTACATCATTCAGCAGCCTAACTCTTATATGTAACAGGCCTCCAGCAAAAGCCAAGAGGGATACATACCAGAAAACATTACAACTAAGAATATAAACTGCATTGTAGGAAAAGAGTATCTTTTCCTTCTTTAAAACGCCCTTGGGTCAGCAGTACTAACCAGATCAAAATATTGAAACTTGGAGAACTGGATGATTACAAACATTGAGAAAAAAGTCTCTTACTATACAAAGTCCAGAAAAACTCAAGTTTTGTCTTGAAATGCTATCTCAGGAAGAACACGCGACAAAAATTTATATATAAACATTAATGAGTTAATGTTTGGCCATGTATATATAACCAATACAAATAAAAATGAGTTAATACTTTTGAGTGATTTATGCTATGAACTATAAATGAGTCCAATGTGAAGACATAAGAAGTATGTACAATGCTTACATTGTAATAAATGAATTTCTGTACAGGAACATTTGCTGTAACAGGCTAAAAAGAAAACTTGAAGAAGAAATACCTCAAAATATAAAGACTCAGAATTGAGGTCGTCTCTGTGGGACTGACTGAGAATTAACTGTTTATGATCTTGCCTCTTTTGCAAAATTTGCCTTCTTTCTGAGGAAGTACTATGGCCTCGACATCTGAATCCAATCTAAGTGAAACCCAAAGGAGGAAAATACAAATCTTATTTTTAAGTAGAAGTTTTATTAATGTATACTATACTTCAGGAAAGCACACAAAATTAAGCAAGTCAATGAACTCACAAAGTGTTCATTTATTTTAAAAAGTCAAACTGTTGACAATTGCAATAATGTAAGTACACTAAGATGTGAAAATGTGGCACTATGCATTCTTTAAACTACTATATATTCGATAGTATCTATAGTTTTATAAAAGCACAGTATTGTAAAAATACAGTAAATATAAATGTATTAATATTGTTACAGATACTAATAGTCCCACCAAAGCTCATGGGGACCAAATACCTAAGCATGCCAATTAATCTCGTGGAGACAACCAATAATCCTGTGAGAACTAGAGACTTTTTGTCAGTTCTCCTAAGAAAAATTTTTTATAGAAAGCAGACATGAAAAAAAAACAAAAATAAAGCTTCAGATACTTATTAATTTTTCAAGTAATTAACACAAAACTAATTTTAAAGATTTCAGTTCTTATATATAATTTAATATCCCATTTACAACAACTAAAATATTGTACATAGTCACAGCAAGAACATGTACAAACTTGTTTTGGAAAACTTTTCAACATCTCTGAAGGACCCAAAACAGCTATTCAAAAATAGAAAGACATAGCGTTTTCACAAAGGAAGAGCCAACATCATAGAGTGAATCCTCCCCTAAAGTTTAGAGATTAGTTTAATGATCAAAGGAATAAATTAAAAGTCCAGAAACAAATCCCAGCATATATGGAAGTTTAATGTAATAAAGGTAGTCATCTGCAGGCCCATCTAAATAAGACAGGCTGAACAATCTGGAGGGGAAAACAACGGGACCGACAGTTCCGGGGGGACAGGGAAGAGGGGGAGGTGGGGGGGAAAGAAAG